CCCTAGCGGGGCTGTGCACCTCCTGGATAAGGTGAAGGTCCTGTAAAACAGTCAGGAACCTACGCTAGCGGTCAGACCTGGCTGTCTGCTTCTCCCAGCAAACGTCTGGGTAGTTTAGGTCACCCATTACAATAACATTCCTTGACCTAATAACCTCCATAAGCTGACTGGAGAAGTCCCGGTCCAGCTCTTCCCCCTGGTTGGGTGGTCTGTAGTAGACACCCATCATAAGGTCTCTTTTGCCACGCCCCCCTTGTAGTTTGACCCACAGTGTCTCCGCCCGACCCTCCCCTAACCTGAAGCTAATCCTTGATGTTATGAGGTGCTCTTTGACATAGAGCGCAGCCCCCGCCCTTTCCTCTCTGTCCTGTCACTAATATATAGGGTGTATCCCTGAATGCCCACCACCCAGTCATGGGTGGCGTCCCACCGAGTTTCTGTGACCCCTACTAAGTCTGGATTCTTACTCGCAATCAGGAGGCAGAGTTCCTCCTGCTTGTTCCCCATACTATGAGCAGTAGTGTAGAGGCACTTGAGGCCTCCTGAGGGTGCACGTGCCTCCCCCCCACTCACAGGACAGTTGTGGCCCCCTACTCCAAGGACGTTGTTGCTTACTTGGGCATCCATTTCTCTTGTCGCCCTGCATGCTGGTGAAGCATCCTCTCCACTTGGAGCGGCCCCTTCCTTCCTCAAATAGGAGCTGATAAATGATGACCTGCTAGTTGTTGCTGTGCCACATTTAGGACAGGAACAAGCCTTAGCTGATTGACTAACTGACACCATACAGTAGGGGTACAACAGGGTTCACTCGGCATAAAACAGCTTGGAAGGGCACCGAAGGGACATCTCATTAAGTGATCTTTCAGGAAAAGAATCATAAAATCATAAGAGATACCTGTGGGTTTAACCTTGAAAGCTTTGGCACAAGCCATCTTTTCCACTGTGCTGCAAGAGCTAACTTACACACTTCAAAGCACACAAAAAACATTAAAATATAAAAACACTAAACATTTAACACTTTCATTGTTCATAAACCAACCTTTAGAACAAAAGCAAACAGAGTCTGCAGTTCCGAAATTATACCAATCAAATTCTATTAATAAAAGTTTCCTTACATAGTAACAAAACTGTTGTATTCCAACAATGCATTAAGAGCCTTCACAGAAAGAAAAATCCCAATATAATACGTACTTAGAACAACTCCCTTATGAACCAAACCTTTTTACTGAACTCCATTCCACGTGTACCCTACTTTAAGGGCCCAACCAGGAAGAGCACACACCAACTAATGAAGCTTCCTTAGCCTGCTGAAGGGTTTTTGAACCCGAAAGCTTGCTTAATAACTATTCTCCAACCATTTGGGTTGGTCTAATAAAAGATATCAAATTCACCCAAGGAACCTTGTCTGCCTATGTCCTTAGACCAACACGGCTACAACCTAAACCCCTGCAATTCTGCAAATGCACTTTCAGTCACTTTGATCACAAGTCACTCATATCTTTTGTGGGATTAGAAACTAAGTATTGTTGTTTTCCTGCCTCTCCCTCCTGTCAGTATATGTTGGATCAGAGGTCACAACATGCCTGATTTTGTTTACCTAATTTCTCATAATCTGTTTAGTTGCAAAGTCTCTGTTGTACAATATCATGAGAACACATTAAAGAGGAAAAGTTAGAGGATGTGCAAGGTACAGCTGTTTTATTAGAAGTCAGGCTCCATTGTTTACACCCAAAACCTTACTGTGAAATGCCTCAGTAAATCTGAATATTAACATCAGTGTTAAATTATATAAATAACTGATCTCATACCTGCACATCACTGATAAATTATACAACTTCTATAATCAAGGCATGCTACTACTATTAGGTCTTCATTCAGCAGAGCAGTTGGCATTCATTTCAACCTTTTACTGAACTGAAGCATCAGTTGTTTTTCAAAATCACCTTCCTACCCAGAGGATAATCCACCAACTTTTTTTTTTTATTAGAAGAAAGCAATGTTTACCTTGTAACTCTTTATAAAACACACCTCTAGGACAACACTGAATGTAAAGAAGGATTTATATACACTGGCTTTTACAAGTTGCATGGATTGATACATGAAAATGTCATTGCTGGATTCAATTGGTAGACTGACATACTGGTGAACTTGAGGAAGCACGAAAGATCAGAGCAGGTTAACAAGCATTCTCTAAAGTCACTCATTTTATCTGGTACTGACTAGGGATGTAAAAGGTTAAATGACTAATTGTTTAACTGATAAGCCCAGTGATAACTGGTTAAAGGTTACTGGTTATTGTTTCCTGTGAGGCTGGACACAGTTTGGCAGGGAAGCAGGGGGGAGGGAGGGGAATGAAAGCTGCAGAGCCCCAACAGGAACCAGAAGGTGGCAGGGCAGGCAGTAGAGAGGAATGGATGGAGGACCAAGGACAGAGGAAGGGGGAAGGGAGGAATAGTACAGGCACTCCTCAGACTTAACACGCAATTGGTTCCTTAAAACCATGTCTTAAGTCGAAACATCATAACTTAGAACCAATTTTCCCATATAAACAGTGTTACAAATGGGGGATTGGCTCCTTTACAATGGTTGATACTGCATGCAGCTGGTAAGTGGTGGAAGGGGAGGGGGAAGGGAAGAAGCGTGGTGGGGGCAGATCAATGCCCCCCGCAATGAGGAAGGGATGGGGAGGCGACAGCTTCCTCCACTGCATGCAGCTTCTCTGGCGGCTCAATTGGGCGTTCCCGCCGCTGGGCGAATTTTTGGGTGGCTGCAGCCCCCTATAGCCCCCACTCTGCTGCCTGCTCTGATCTGGGGAAACATGGCCCCCATGCCCTCAAAGCCACAGCTTATCCGAGGGGCGGCTCCCACCACTGGGCACTGCTTGTCTGGAGGCAGAGCAGCGGCTCTGCCCTGTGCCCATCCTGCCCTAGGTGGGCAAGTAGCAGGAGGGCATGTGCCCCTGGACTCGGGAGGAGCGGTGTGGGCAGCAGTGGGGCTACAAGGGGGCTGTAGCCACCCAAAAATTCATCGTAGCCCCTGCCACCCGCCTGGAGCTCAGCCCAGTGCAGCCCTGGCCCTGCCCACCCCACGCAGATCCAAGAGCACCCCCCCCCATGCCCTCTCGGACCAGCAGGGGGAGCAGCAGCAGGAAATGCCAGATGAGCAGCACACAGCTGCCACTCCCCTGTTCCTGCACCCGCCTGGCCCCAGCTGAGCAGTGCTTGTCCCAGCTCGAGTCCCTCCCTTGCTGCAGGGGGCGTTGATCTGCCCCCCCCATACTCCTTCCCTCCCCCACCCCCTTCCACCGCTTACCAGCTGCATGCAGTATTGACCACCATAAAGACAAAACCCATGTAGGAAAGTCCAAATGGGGTGTCAATTTATAAACTTTGTAAGTGACGTTCATTGCAACTCAAAAAGTTGTAAATTGAAGACTGCCTATACCTGCAGCCTATGAGGTTAAAGAAGAAAGTAGCAGGCAGCCTAATGACTCATCAATTAATCAATTAGCTACTCCTTCACAGGTGCTCCTTGCCTCCTAGCAGGGGACTTCGCCTGAGCTGTACTGTCTTGCTGGGCTTGCCAGCTACCTCCGCCCCCACATGTCAAAGGGACCCTGGAGTGGCTCACAGCAGCAGCCATGTCTGAGCTGCTGTGTTACTGGGTAACCACTTAACCGAAAGAACTGGAGGAGGTTAAACAAATAATTTTAAAACAATATTTACATGCCTAGTACTGACTCAGACAACCCTGTCCTATTCATATGCACAGAGAGCCTCCCAAGAAAAATGTTTTTAGAGACAGACCATGCAAAATTGGCACAGGTACAAACAATACTCTCAGCTGGAGCAAACAAAGGGTGTATGAAAAAATGATCAGCTAAGGCTGGAACAGATATGACATGGAAAACAGAAAAGAAGTTACAGAAGGAAAAATATAATGCAACAAATGACCCAGCATGTATGTCAATCCTGAAAAAGTTTATGAGGTTCAAGTTCAATAACTTCAGGTAACTGGAATATATAATGATAGGTGGGTAACCCGCCGATACTGCTGGCTGCCTCCTATGTTCCATTTCCTACTGCAGGCCACAATCCTGCACCTCCCCAGTGATCCACAGACACTTTGAAGGGAACAGATAGAAGATGGCAGGTGATAGACCCAGGGGATGCTGCCTCTGCTGCAGCAGAAAGACTAAATCGAATACATCAGGAGCTAGGACTTGGGGATGCCTCCTCTGCTGCTGTGGCTGGAGCGTGCTGCTGATTTCCGGGGCTGCCACAGGCCAGATCCAGTGTTTTCACAGGGTGAACTGGCCTGCTGCAGATTCCCGCATTATGTTATAACAAATAGTCTGTTATTCAGCAGTTCATGTTTAAACCAAGACAGGGACAGATCCACTTCCCACTAAACCACACAATTTCAGCTGCTACTAGAACTTACTCATATTAAGAAAACCCTTCCCTTCTTTTCTTGTTTCCCCCCCCCTAAAACAACAGGGTAGACACTGCCATTTATTGCAATGTGCTTTTTCTAACCCTAAGAGAATTACCCATCAAACCAATCAGAACCCCTATTTATTTTATAATACATTATTCTAAGAATAGATTGCTTTCCAATGCATCTGTGGATTAGGTCAGCAATAAATGAACTGATTACATTTCATGGTCACTTCATGGTGTTTATTCAGGTAAGAAATACTGACATCCATTTTTATACCAGTGCAGCCTGATTTTGTGAATGCTCTATTTTCAAACTGGACAATATTTGTCAACAGGGCTTAATTATTTGGTCAAGAATGCTGCACAGTAAAACTATGTTCCCTTATAAGTATTTGTATCTTTTAAATCATTGTAGTAGATAATCCTCTTTGTAGTGGGTAGGATATGATTACCCTTGATTGTTTTAAGGCTTCGTAGTTCAAAATTAAGGCCTGCAAATTCCCCTGTGCTAAATTTAATTGCATGTTTTATTTAAAAGTTAGACTTTCATCAATTTACCTTCCATAAGCAAAACGTCTGTCTTTGTGGTGGTCACCGAATGTATCCCAGAGCCTGAGGGAAACACTTACTTCATCAACAACATCCCGTGAACGTTCAAGGACCTAGAACAGAATAGAAGTCACGTTTTTTTCCCCTCGGTTAAAATGTTCACTGCAAGTAAATGGCACTTTCCTTTGTTAAAAGGTATGACGACACGCTTCATCACATATTCTATCAAAACACTGTCTTAAGCGTTGTATTTATTACTATTTAGGCATATTATGCAACTTCAAAAAAATCCCTTCTTGCCACAAACTGTGTAATGGAACACCCTAGAGAGGTGGCAGATACCTTATAATCTTTTGGAAATGTATTTCTGAGGTGCCCATTACCACTTTGATGAGAATGGAGTTGAACAGCAATACAAACTCACTGTACATCCATATTTAATAGGCTTGAAAACCCTTACCTCTTGGCAGACGCGGTACTGATCAATTGCCCAGACAGTTGGTACATGAGTTGCCAACAGCTGGTACTGTGTCAAGGTTGTATTGCATGCTCTTGCACAAATTAAGCGAGTCTTTCCCACTGCATTATCACCAACCACCACACATTTTATGGTTTCAATGTTGGGTCTTTCGTAGTCCATGTCAGTGTCCATTTATCAAAAGCTGTAACAAGACAGTTACATTTTTTCTAATACCGTAGAAGTTGAGTTATTTAAAACCAGATTCTATCTCCACTTCTTCCAAGTTGCCCATAGGATGAAGTTTCAAGTCAAAACTCAACTTCAGCTTGGCTTAATATCAGTTCCTTTATATACCACACACAGTTACTGAAACCCAAGAACTGTTCTTTTGACCTCAAATGTTTTTTTTTTCCCCGCAGGTAGCATGTTATTTTTACTTTGGTTTTCTGTAAACACAAACCTGTTTGCTGAAGAAAAACCCTGGTGAAGCTAGGACTGTTGGCACAAACTTACCCCTCACTAGCTCTCTGTCATGTGGAGAAGCAGCTAAGACATGATGTAAGTGAGTTTGGCTTGAGGGACTCTGGTATAAACTTGCTTTTGTACTATAGGCTTTCCCTGGCACCTTGACCCTTGAAGATGTGGATTAAGATAGTCTCAACAGGTAAAAGCAAGTTACCATTTATGTACAAAATAGGCTATAATTAAAGTTAGGAAAGTAATGTCTAATAAAATGACACAAGAGCCTTGACTTGCTAAAACCTGTAATTTATACTGACTTTACCATCACTGTTGCCTGTATAAATCACCTAGCCTCTCTGCTTTTAAAGACAATTTTTCACAGAGCAAAGTCTAAATTAAAACCAAACAGTCTAATTGAACCTTGTCAATTCAAATATTTTCTCACTAGCAAATTCTGTTTATAAGACGTCAGAATTATTTTACCATGAAATGCTTTAATGAGAGCACAATGTATATTTTCCTTTCCAAAATACACTGTCCTTATAGAAAACTAGAATATATTCCTTCATCATCTTTAAATGCATGTCAAATCAGTTAATAGGTTGGTCAGCAAGAAGGGGAGAGATTTGTTTTTAAATATATTTGTTTTTAAGGCCTTTGCAAAGTCTACCATTTTCAGAGAAGAGAAAGGCACAATCATAGTTCAGAATATGATTCTGCTCTCCAAATCTCTAGTCATTGCTCAGTTATAGAATGTCTGGTGTGAAACTGTCATCAAGGAAAAAGTAGAGAAAACACAAGCCAGCCTTATTTAGTAGGGTTTGTCTCTCAGAATTTTTCAAACATGGAAACCTTTTCCATTTAGTGGCATTGACTGCCACGATGCATACATTATACAGTAAAAGTTCTGTTATCCGGCATCTTACAAGCCAGCATGCTCCACTAACCAGCATGCCGGCTTGTAAGATGAAGTGAAACCAGAAGTGCCCACTGTGGCCCAGAGGCATAACACACTGTGTGGGTCTGTGCGGGGCCCACCTCACTGTCATGCGGTGCCCTGTGGGCCCCAAGGGAGTGGTGGAGATGCCGCGGGAGGGTCATCGCCCAGACACAGCGTGAGAAGCGGTGGCCGGGGCCGCCCAATTAACTGATATATTTTGTTATCCAGCATCCCCTGTTCCTGGGGCTTTTACTGTATGTTAAACTTTTAAATTGATTATATTTTTCCCTGTTAAGAAAACATTTAAATTTGAGATACTGACTGATTCTGCTTAAAACATCCTTTATATTAAAATTTTATTCACCCATCATAACTACAGAATATACATCACATTATCAAGCCAATTTAAAAATAAAATACTATTTTGATATTTGTTCTTCACCATTTCAAATCTATTATTTTCTCCATCTTAAGAATATATGTGTTATTAATAAATATTGGACTATGACTAATTGTGCTTTTTTACTGTTTAAATAGCTATGACCTTGAGATGTCTATGAGGACTGGGGGAGTGACTAAGGGAGTCTTTGGAAGCACAGACATTCATTGTCACAGAGTGAGACAATGTTGTTGTTCTCTCAAAATGATGCTACATAAACATAATTTTGTCAGTCAATTAGCATACGATAGCTTTCAAACATTCAGCTGTTTTATCTATATGGATAAAATGTAATTAAATATAAATTAATTATAGAAGATAAATGTGATATAATATACAAAATAAATTTCTTCCAGTGGATTGCAGTTTAAGCCCTTATCCCACAACTGACTGCTATGGCATAGGTTCTCTACCTGGGCACAGAACACGTCGGTGTAATCTGCTGCAGGACTGAGGCTTCTGAGATAAGGAACATGTCTTCACAGATGTTTGTACAGAGCCTAGCACAACAGGGCCCTAGCCTACTTGGAGCATCTAGGCCAGTGATCACCAACCCGTCGATCCTGATCAACAGATTGATCCTGGGCTGAGGGAGAGCTGGGCGCGTGAGTATGCGCACACCCACCCGCCCTGCCCAGCCCCAGCAGGTCAATATGTGGGGGAGGGAAGGGGCAGAGGCCAGATCGAGGCTCCTGCAGTGAGCGATTGACTGCGAGGCCCAGCCAGGAGCAGGGAAAAGTAAGTAGTGCCCCAGCCTATATGGGTGGTGGGAGGATTGGAGCCTGGGGAGCTCCTCCAGAGGCATCGGCAGGGGCTTCCTCTCATCTCTGCGGGGGTGGAGGCAGAGGCAGTAGAGGCAGCTGCCGGTGTGCCTCGAGTCCCGCTAAAGCTGGCCATATGCGGTTGCGGCTCAGCTAAGCAGCAGGGACTCACGTGGTGGCGGCCCCAGCCCAGCCAGTTCTGGGAAGATCTGGTCATTTAGGGGTGTGTTGGGGGAGGAGCTCCCACCACTGCACGCAGCCTGGTAGAGGCCCTGGGGACCTGTGTTCCCTCCCTCACCTGTGCTCGGGATAAGATGGCTGCTGCTGTGGGCCGCTCGCTGCACCTGGAGCACAGGTCGGGGAGTGGAATGCGCCCTCAAGGCCTCCATTGAGCTGCGCCCAGCGGCGGAACCTGCCCGCCCCCACCATGAGCCCCTGGACAGCAGATACTTCCAGACCTGACTGGGCTGGGGCCCGATGCCACGTTCGTCTGGCTGCCGGGCAGGTGCCACTCAGTGCAGCTGCAGTACAGAAGTGGAATCAGTGCAGCCTGGTTGAAGCCTTGGGGGCCCATGCCGCCTGCCCACCTGTGCTCTGGAAGCCTTGAGGGCGGGACGGAAAGGGGCACAGAAGATCCTGGGGTGCCCTTTACTTCCAAAAAGTGAACTTCATTATAAAAATCCAATTCAGAAAGTAATAAATATTTTATGAAAAAATGCAGAGCAACTTTAACTGTATTAGTCTGTCTTTTTTTTAAATCCTAATTACTGAAAAAATATCTACAGTTAGAAGCCTCAACAAATATTTCAGATTAAAACGGGCTCTAATGTTGAATTATAACCATCAAGGGGTTGCAAACTTTATGGATTAACTGTTTCTAAACCAGTATAAGCAGCAAAGAGAGCTCCCACCCAGGCATATGTACAAGATGTGAGATTCTGAGGTTTTATAGATATGATTACAGTAGTTAAATTTATTACATTAGGTGTATTAAAAAAGAACCAAAAGCATTTACTTGCTAACGAGAAAAAAAACACAGGTAAGTCACCAGATTTTGAGTGAAGAAAGGTTGGTTATCTGGGAAGAGCAAGCGGAGCTAGTCAAAGCCAGTTACTAGGAAGCCAAGACAGGAATCAGCAAACAACATGCATGAAAGAGATATAATTAAAGCCCAGGACCCAAAATATAAACAAGACTTCAGTGCTATCAAAAAACAAAACAGGACTGGACAAAAAACAAACAAACAAACATTGCCACTGGTTGAATGCCCAACAATGGCATTAGACAGAGATCAGTTGTTAGGACAACTAGAGTAAGATGCAACTGTGACCAAACAAACAGCATTTAAAAATGCACAGGTGAGTCTAGATGAGCCCGCACGTGCCTCCTGCAGCGTCTCAAACTCCTTTGAGACGCTGCAAGAGGCATGTGAAGGAACGAGAAAATGTTCCCCGCACTGCAAATTTGTAGCATGGGGGCAAAATTAGACCCCTGGATGTACAGGGGTCAAAATAAACCCACAGGGAAAAAAAGCAGAGCAGGCAACCAGAGGCTGGGTCCTTCACAGAGATGCTCTGGTAGCAGCCAGAGTATCTCTATGGTTGGCCCTCGCCCTGGTGCTGAAGCACACTGCCTGCCCATGCAGGGCAGGCAGCATGCCAGCCACAGGGAATTGGACCCAGGCTCCAGTGCAGATAAGTAGGGGGCTGGAGGAGGGGGAAAGGGACCATAGCGGGGACCCCTGCCTGCTCCCCCAGCCCCCTGCATCACTGCCCTACCTGATCCCATCCCTCCCAGCATCCCAGCCCCGCCATCACTGCCCCCCCCAGCATCCCAGCAATTAAAAAAGAACTGCCCCCCCCCCCCCACCAGAAGCAACCATTGGGATCACCTGCCCACACGGTGCAGGGCCAGGTGACAACCCCAGTGGTCCCCGCCTGGGTCCTGCTGCCTGGGCGGGCTCTGCCAGGAGGCCCCAGAGCCCCCACAGCCACTGCTCCTGCAGTGAGTAGAGGCTTTTTTACCCCAGCTGCAGTTGCAAGCAGGCAGTGTCTGCTGCTCCCGGGGCTGCAACAGGGGTGGGCAGCCGCCTGCAGCCAGACGAGAGCAGGCCAGCGGTGGCTCCAGGCTCTTCCCAGTGCTCTGCCTGTCTCCACCCTAGCCATGGCTGCAGTGGCCCCGGGAGCTGCCGGCACCAGCTGCTAGCACCAGGGCACAGGGCAGCCCAGCAGCTACAGGGAGCTGGCATCGGCTGCTCCCGGGACAGCTGCAGCAGAAGCTGGGGTGAGTGGGGATAGGCAGAGTCCAGGGGGTGTTTGGGGCACAGTGCAGCCTAGTGGCTGCAGGCAGCTGGTGCTGGCAGCTCCCGGGGCCGCTGCAACCGGGGCTAGGGCGAGTGCTGCACGCTGCACCGCCCAGGGCTCCGCTTGTCCGCGCTCATCCCAACCCATGCTGCAGCGGCCCCAGGAGCAGCCGACACAGGAACCTCTCTCCATTTCTTACATTATATAGTAGGTTCGCTTTATGCGAATCCAATTCATGTGGTGTTCTCCAGGAACACACGTACCACATAAATCGAGGGAAACCTTTAATAGAGTTTT